AGATATTTTAATATAAATATGGGCGTAACTAATACAGGTTGTAGATCAGAGATCATAATGGCTTAATAATTGAGGGAGACGAGTTATAAATGAGGAAATCATTGCTGGACGCTTGAGAGTGGCTGTGTGAGAGGGGACTTTCATTGAATTAGCTTCTACTTTTGTAAATATAGATAGGTAAATTTCATAGTTAATGATGGACTGTTAGAGGCTATATTGACTTTATCTTTATTGTAATGACAAGTTATATATATTTTCTAGACAGTTAATTTTGTATTTCTGTATATTTGATTTATGAGAAGCGCAAAGAGAGGCCGAAAGTTAACTGCTTTATAATACAGCTATAGCAAAACTAATTGAAAGCTAATATATATATGTTTTCTCTATTTTATTTTGGAATTATTTTTAATTGTGTTCAACTTCTAAGAAATTCAGAGTGTTGCTGTCATAGCTTGCTTTGTATTAGTTTCATTTTTGGCTTTTCTTCAGATTGTTTCTGCTCTAGCTGAACTCTTTTGCTGGACATTGTCCTTAACCTTTTGTGCAGCTGTTCGTTTGCCTTATTTGGCTTGCACAATTTTCCAATAGGAGACTTTGGTAGTTGCCAAGTTGCAAAGAAAAACGTGTCAGACCAGATTGCTGCCGTCTGTCTATGCCTCTTCCTCTGCCTCTGCCGCTGTCGCTGTCTCTATCTCTGTCTATTGACATAAGCTGGCTGTGGCAACAGCAACAGCAACGGCAACGGCCTGCGATTACAACAGGCAACAACCCATTGCAAAGTTTTTGGTAAACAAGAAAAATAAAATTCGTATTTTTATTTAATTTTTTTTTTCTTTTAGCCACATCATCATCTTCCTTTTGTCCACGTACAGGAACTGGTCACAGTTTAAAGACCAAGTCGGCTGGTGGCTGTCGGCTGACGCTGGAGTTTCTTTTATGCGATGCTTTTGCCTTTTTGTTTTTGGTATTTCTTAATTTTGTGCCTGATATCAAAGTATGTGCATGTGTGTGTGTGAGCTCTGCGTTTGCAGTTGCCTTTTTGCGTCGTGTAAACAGAAATTGCCACCGACAAACAGACCAGCAACGGCCAACAACTGTTCAGGCCTTACAACAATCCAGGCAACATCTGTCGCCCATCATCTAAACCATGTCCAATGCTCTCCCAGCGTCCAATTGGTTTGCCATGTTACGGTGGCTTTTCTGTCGCCTCACTGCCAAATAGTTGGCATAGCTTTAGCGTCTTTTTTTGGTGTTTTTTGTTTTCAATTTCTCGTCTTAATTTAAATTTTTGTTAATGCTTTTACACATCTCTGTTGACTCCTCAATATTCAATATTTTTTGCTTTCACTTTCGATTGTGTATGAGATGCGTGAATATATAATTAAATAGTTGGCAGCGAGGAAGCCAAGAAGAGTTAAGAAAGCCTAGGATTCTTTTAGTAAGTGCATAATGAGTCTAGCTGCCTCGCAATTAATAAACATTACATTTATTTTATTATAATTTCTGCAATTTGAAATTAAAGACATCTTTTTGAAATAGCTAAATAAAATGCAGGCTATAAATATCTGGGTCTATGTCAACTATATGCCATTAGCATTGTAATAGGCTTACGGCTGAGCAGCTTCAGCATCTTTAATTGGCTGCTGGCAATAATAATAATAAGAGAAATAATGATGATAATAATGAGCAGCAGTTATGTTGGTACATTGAAATCAGTGCTGCAGGCAGCGGCAACTGGCTTAAGATACTTTTGTGTATCTTTGTATCTGCGAGATACGCGCTTGACAGGCCCTTCAACCTGTTTGCGATTTATTGTATGAATTTCAAGTTGTAATTTCTTTTGATTTTGTTGTTTCTTTATTTTTTTATATATTTTTTTGCGCGTGTGTTGTTGCAGAGCGGAGCTTGTCATTCTAGCAGGTTTTGTTGCTGTTGTTGTTATGTGGAAAGTGGGTCAATCGAGAGATCTTTTATACAAATATATTTTGGTTGCATATTTATCGAAAACATAAATTGTTGCTGCTGCTGCTGTGACAAACAGTTAATGGATTTGTGTGTTAAAAAATGAAAGTTGCCTGGCAACTAGAATTTTGGAGTAGTTCAACTAGCCCACGCGCCCAATTATACAAATTGTATATGGATACGACGTCGGTTTTGTTAGTTGAAGTTCGTTAACAGGCGCCACACTAAATCAAATGGCGTCAAATCGATTTCAATTGCTTTGCAATGCATCAAATTGAAGCCCACAAATAAATCAAGTAATTGAACGCTAATCAGACGCAAAGCCAATTAGGCAGCTCTTCGCGCGCTTAGCCCTCGGTTTTGATTTTACTTTGAACTCGATTCACATTTAGTTGAGACTGGCCCAGCATGATTGAGCTGTTGCTGCTGCAGTTGTTGCTGTCGCTAGTTGAGAATTAAATCGAATTCCAATTTCAATTTCAATTTCATTCGGCGCACGTGGAAAAGTGAACCAAATTGTGACTCTGATGAAGCGCTTGATTGGACAGCGCCAACAGTTAATGGAAATAAAGCCAAAGTGTTGAGTGCTGAGTGCCGAGTGCCGAGTGCCGAGTGTTGTTGTTCGGGGCAGGAAGTGCTGCTTAGTCAAACAAATTGAAAATGTAATTGAGCATGCGATTTGCTATGATATAATACATATTACGAAATCAGCTAGCAATTTGTGCCAAAGGATTGTGCGGCAACAACTCAATAATATTATTGAAGTAGAATATTGCATTTGGTTGATTGAGCTTTCATATGGTGCTGCAGATAATTTATGCTTGGAGTGAAATGTATATAGGCTGGTTAATTAAAATCGAAATATGTAAGCTTCTCAATAAATACAAAAATCTTTGCAGACAAGTTTCCATGACAACTTTTTGAGCAAGTCAAAAGCCTTAACAACCCTTTCCCAAATTGAGAAACTCAACTGACTTTAACGGCGCCTTTTATTGACTAAGCTGAAATTTCATTTTTGTTTTGGTATCATAAAAATTGGTCTTTACCCCAAATATTATGAAAATACGTTTATGCAATATGCGCCGCAACGAAAGTGTTGGGTTTTTGAAAACAGAGCAGAAGAAACAAATCCCAATTATGGACATTAGTTCATCCGCAAATCAAAGCCAGCAGCAGCAGCAGCAACAACAAAGAGCGAAAATGACAATCAAATTGGAAATATCATAAATTGTTGCGGCTGGCAGTTGGCAAGTTTGGCTGAGGCCATGAAAGTGAAAACTAACTATAACAGCGGATGCCACAAATGCCACATTGACCAACAAACAAAATACAACAAAAGCTGCAATAACAACAATAGCAAGGGATAAGCTAGATAGATAGATATTTATATATATATATATATATATTTTTTTTTTTTTTTTGTAAATAGCTAATGTCTAACAATTAGGTTGAGCATAGCAGTTAATGATAATTAACATAGCAGTCTGCTTAAATATACATATATATCGGGCTGTAACTGACCTAACTATTGATTTGTGCTTAAGAACTGAAAACACCTTCGCTGACTTGACTCAGTTCAGCTTCTTCAATATCTTTATATATTTTTTTTTCAAGCGAACAGGTTTTTTATCATCTCCGGCTTTAAGCGTTGTCATGACTTTGTGGCTTTTACTCTTCGCTTCCTTTGCATCTTCAAAAAACAACGAAGAAGATATAAATATATATATGTATATATATAAAAAGGGAAAGTTCATTGAGGCAACTCAGTTGCATATTTGTACAATTAATATGAAAATGCCTATGAAAATATTTTGAATAATGGAATAATTTAGCCATGGGCTTTGTGCAAGTCTCTCAATTGTTTTTGGAATGTTTGGAATTTTCCAAGCTAATGTTGCATAATGCAAGTTCGTTTCTATAGTTTATTGGCATATTTATTTGGGCATCTTTTAGCCATTCGGCATTTCTGGCCCATTTTTTGCGGCAACTTTCTTAAAAACTGTGTCAATTCCACTTCAAATAGTATTCACAACTAGAATTCACAATAAATATTTGCATATCATTCAATGGAAATGCAAATTGAGTTATAAATTGTTTGCTATGTCTTTCATATCGATGATGCTTTTGGCACATATTTGGGTTATGAGTTTTTTTGTTTATAAACATTGTCTATGCTTAACTGGAACAGTTCGCTTTGAACTCAATTTGTTGGCAGCCACAACAGCAATTGTCCGAGTGTATAATAATGCCATTTAATATTTATGATATCAAAATAATAATACAATTATATTTGAATCAAAATTGAGTAGAAAAAATGAATGGGACTTAAAATATATTATTTAAAATCTATTTTAAGCTATGCTTTTAGAGAGTGCTAACCTTATTCAATTTTGTTTGAAAATAAATAAAATATACACTATATGATTATATTATATATTAAAAAAATATATTTAACTATTATTGAAAGGGGTTTAACCTTAAAAATATAAAAGTCAAATAACTTATTCAAACAATTTTATTTGCTTCACAAAAGCTTTTTAAAGCCACTGTGCAGGAATGGAAAGAAATTCCGAGCAATTTTGTTTTATGTTACATATATATTAACTAAATATTTAAACAAATATATTTCAATATAGTAAAAAAAAATTAATATGTATTTCAATTTGTATTTTTTTTAATATTAAAGTATATTTTTTGTAATTTTTTAATTAATATATTGAAATATATTTTATATAAATATAATCAAAATTTTTCAAATATAAACTAAAACTTAAAATATTTCAATAAAATATATGTCAATATATATATATATAAATTTCAATATATTTTATTTAAATATTTGAAATAGAATTTCAGTCTATATTTGAGTTAATATTGGAATATATTGCATTAGATTAAAATTAGCTTTAATATATTTAAATAAAAAATTTTTGAATATATATTTTAGTTGATAGTAAAATAAATTTTTCTCAATTTATTTAGTTAATATTTCAATATATTTTATAGTTATATTTGAACATATTTCTCATAGGACTTACTCCATTATGTTGCACCGCATTGGGTGGAATAAATCCTTGTGCATTCGCCGCGATCGTCCACAGGCACAAAGTGCCCCAAAGAGTCAACAAAACTCGCATGATTCACACCAATTTCCCAAGTTAACTTGACTTAATATTTTAAGGTTTTTCCTGTCTTCAAATTTGGTTTCCTTTAATTTTGATTAATTAAATATCGTTGCACTATTTTTGATTGCAAGGCAAAACACGAAATGAATTTTCCAAATTGTCAAAAATGGCGATAAAAAAACACAAAACTGAAATCAACGTTTTTGTTGAAACGTTTTCTATTTGCCTTATGCAAATACAGTTAGTTTTTATTTTTGTTTTGGGTTTTCAACTCTTTTTGTTTTATTTAGTATTCCGTGAGCGTTGGCTGCCGCGGAGTCGTCAGTCGATTGCTAGCCGCAGACACGACTTGTCTGGTAAAAGTTCGATGCTTAACTGAAGATCATTAAGCGTTTGGTAACAATTTAAGCCAAGCCAAAGCGACGAAGATGCCAAAAAAACAAATATGCGAACGACGTGATGCGACGATGAGCGTCGCAACATGTTGCTAGCAACACGAGCAACAGCAGCGGCAACATTTGCTGAGAGCGTTCGCTGCAAAGAGAAAGCATCGAAGAGCGGCTCGGCTGTTGAAAGAGAAAGTGTTGCTGGTGCAACATGAGGAAATGCCATGCTCTAAGCCAAGTTGTCTTTATTTTTTGTTTACTTACTTCTTATTTGCACAACAAATGATATTCGCTCTTCGTGTTGCAGTCTTTATCGAACCAGAAACCGTTGGCTAGACAAATATGAAGCTATCTGCACAGATTTCGATTGCAGACGCCCCGAAATCACGTAACTTCCGTACTCGGAAATGCAGATAAGAACGCAAATTGAAGGCGTACGATTCGTAATACCCATAAATACCTTTTAATAGCTGTCCAAGCTAAATTGCAGACATCATCATTACCATTTACAGACCCAAGTGTCACATAGCCCAACAATGGCAACAAATATGTCTTCAACATTTCGGACAGATCATTAAAACTGCATTCCAAGCACACCACGATGTGTCTTTCAGCTGGCTACACTTTGAAGTGATTCATTTTTTACGTATTTTCCTCTCTGATCATAATTATCAAAAGTAGATGATTAATGTGTACCGAAGCTGCTGCTGCCGCTGCTGCTGCGGCTGCTGCTGTTGTCTTTCCGCTTTGCTATTTGGACAGTAGCTCGAACCTGATCCCGCTGAGAGATCTGCGCTCCAATTGATCAACATATTACACACTTACATCACACGCCGAAAATCGATGAATAATCGCTGCAGGTTGAGTTGATCTAGTTTTACATAAAGAGAAGGCGCAGCATGACGCTGTTGAACCGATCAACTGGATCGCTAATAATTGATGTTTCGCATTGATGAAGCTTGGCAACTGCCCAAAACTGAACAGTCATTTACGATGTTAGTTTAACCAGTATCAAGGTTACGTTAGCAGTCAGATGACAGTGAAAGTCAAGTCGAATGTAATCTAAAGGAATTTCGTTTTATATTTAATAAAGATTGCAGAAGTGTCTGGTTTTAGGCGGAATTAATGAAGCTATCTATTGATGCTTGCAATCAGAAGCAAAGCAGTTACAACTCAGTGAGAGCTTCTTCTAGATAAGTTTGTTTTCTTTAAGGCATTGAAACTTTAATTTCAAGTCTTTGGTTTATAACGTTGGTAACTTCAGTTCCATCACTTCTAAAAATTTCTTGAATAAAGATGTCTTTGACTAGATTACAACTAACGCTTTTTTGTATTAACTCCAAAGCAATTACTTTCATGACGAGATATTTTTTCTATGCTATTCTACCATCAGCGGCAGCTCGAATGTAATTGAAAGCAAAAGTCTGTTCAACCAGCTTGCTCCTATCTAAAACCATCTACTAGCTCCTCAAGGCATTCCTTAGCTTAGATTTGTACAGAATTTCTTAAGATATCGTCGCATGTTGCCTTCACTCATTCATTTTTCCACTCCCATAGATCGAATCGAAAATTTCCTTTTGAATGCCTCACTCCAGCTTTGATTTGGCCCTAAATTATCCAATTGATTTCCTCTTGTGCAACAGCTGGTTGGCCAGTTAGCTGTCAATCTGGTGGCCCTTATCAAAACGCAGCCTGGGCCACTCAACAAATTATGGCATTTGCTGCTTTCCAGCAATTATAGCAGCAATTTGCCGCGCTTTTGAAAAATTCGGCAAGCGACTAATCGACTAATCGACAAGTCCAAGTCAGACAACGACTTCAACGCCAGCTTTCATTAATAAATATTTTCACTTTCAAACGAAACGAAACGAGACGAAACAAATATTAAATATGCAAGCCAATGGCCCATTAAGTCGATGCCCAATGCAATTCTAGAGTTGGGCTAAACTGCAGACCCACCAGACAGACGGGACCCCCCAATCGATTCGAATCGATTCGATCTCCAGTTGCATTACATAAGCAGCTTATCAGCTTTTGCTCGGGTCACTCTACACCCTATAGATAGACAACGATAATGGCTTTTGCTTGATTTGACTGATTCGATGATGCCGCAGGTTGGCTTCAAGTCCAATGACTCGAGACGTTGCTTCTTTGTATCCGTTCGATGCTTAAATTTTATTTGATGGCTTTCTTTGTTCGGCAAGAAAAGCCAACGTGATAAGCTATAAAATCTATATGGAAAATACAAAAAAAAAGAAAAACAAACAACAACAAACACCTGTTTTTGTGCACGTTAATTAAATTGCCTTTGTTAGGCACAATAAATTACAAAATGAAAAAAGGGAAAAATACCAAAATTTCATTCAAGAAGTTTTCTCCGTTTTGTCTCAAGTGTTTCTAATGAAGCTCAAATTTCTGTGGTTGTTTCAGTGTAAATGATAAACAAACGAGATGAGATTGAGTTTTTTTAAATTTTTTATATATAGTTTAAGGTGTTTAATTTATTAATAAGTTAAGATTTTGAGACTAAACTAAACTTTGTTTAAGTATTGCAAAACTGAAATATATTGATTGTGTTCATCGTGTGGGCTGACTACATAAATTAAACTTGCTTAAAGTTTTGAATCTGCCAAAGTTCTAGCTTAAAGAAATATTTTATATTATATATTTATAAAATATAAATTATAAAATATTAATAGAATCTTTCTTCTATCTTCCATTTGCTTCTTCTTTTTTTAGTCTTTATTTCGCAGCTTTTGGAATTTCTCATTTTGTTTTAAGAAAATATTTTTAAAAAACAGAAATTTTATTATATTTTTTATTTATTTTTTATTTTATATTAACTGCTGTTAAGAATGTTAATTAAAGTAATATCAAAGCAATTACTAAAGTTCATTACACATATTCTGCAGAGAGTCATATTCCTGTTTATTATTAATTAAATAAACTAAACTCTTTTAAATATATGTATGTGTATATAAAAACAATTCTATTTAATAATAATAATATACCCTTCTATTTAATTATTATTTCTTATTTAATTTTACATTTAATTTTATTTATTTTTTTTTTTTTAATTTTTAATGCTTATATTCCTTTTAAAGTCTTTCATTTCGATATATGCACTAAATTTAAGGCAAATGCAACTCTGTCAAAGGTTTAAGTTTACATCTATCTATGGATTTAGTTTTTGCCTACATTGTTTAATAAAAAATTAGATAAGTTCGACAAGCTTCCACTCTTCTTAGCCAAACAGTTTTTAGTCATCCCTAAGCCCGCTTTCCATCAAGCGAAAAATTGCTATATTGACCTCAGTGCGACGTGACAGCTGAAACAGGCAGGTCGTAAAATAAAATTCATCTCTTTAATTTTTCGGCGTGCCCCACCTATAAATGCGTCATAAGAGGCTGCATATAAAACGAGATGATATAATACCAAAATATGCATATGTTTCCGTACTTGAGATTAACGTAACTGAATTATGCTTTGCTCAAGTGTGGGAAAAAGTTGAAGGCGGCCAATTTAGAATTAGTTAATTTTTTGGCATACGATTTCAGATGATTGCTGTGGGAGGGGTGACGGCAACAGCCAAGTGGCGGGGCAAGAGATTGATGAAAGAGTCAAGTCACAGAGGAGCCTAAGCCAAAGTCAAAGTTAAATAAAAACCACAGAAATCAAAACATCGACAAATGCCCACAAAGCAAAAAAAAACAAGACTAAATGCTGTGTACAGCGGATGGCAACAACAAGATGCTGCAGGGAGAAAGACTTTCACCTTTGCGTTGAATGATCAACGCGAGAAAGACAAAAAAAGAAGAGTCGCAGCAGCAGATAGAAGCGACGGCCTTCGAGTTGCCATGGACCCGAACTGGAGGCTTAAACGATAACAACAACAAGTGCCAGACGACGATGATCATGAAGATCATCATCGAAGACGAAGAAGAAGAAGACTCAGCTGAATGCTTCGGCTTAAAGTTTGCGTCAATAAACCTTTGACTCAATGAGAGTTACGCGTCGCGCTTATCACTCGAAGCGCTCAATGGGAATTACTATGATTATTTTGTTGTTGTTTTTCTTATTTGTGTTTGCCTTGAATCAGCGATCGTGAAGGCAACTTTTACTTTCCATTCCAGAATGAAGATTTTCCACACACACACGCACACATGTGTGATGCTGTGGGCTTATACTTAGAATTTTCGCTTTCTCGTCTTTTTCTCAGCGGATCAAACCCCCACGCAAAACACTTGTCAAGTGCTTCTCATAGTAAAAAGTGAAAATCATTCATGATCTTCACAGTCTGCAATTGGTACAGCTGTGCCCTAGCTTCCACTAGTGTTTAACAAATTATAAGCCATTAATAAAATCAGCATTTAATTTAAATTATCTCTTACAGATACCAAGAGCGAGGCACACGTGCGGCGGCTATTACACAAATGCTCATTTAATAGATGCACAAACATCAAAAACATCCATAATTCGGATATTGCATAACTCTAGTTACACGAAAAAAAAAACAAGCAGAAGAGCAACAACAAAATAAACAAAGTTTGCAACCAAAGCTAAATTAACAAATTGTTGCCCCAAAGGCTTTTTGCAAATGGTGTCAAAACGCTGTCCGTATCAAAAGAGACACAACTGGGGAAGCAGGTGAGCGAGCTATAACTTAATCAAAAATTAAGACAAAAAATTATATTTAATAAGCTGCAGGTTTTACAGGTGGAACAGCTCAGAGATTGGCAGCCAAGCAAATCTATGAAATGTGTGTGATATATAAGGAATATCATATAAATAAGTCTTAGCCCTAAAGAAATTTTTGAATATGTACTCCATTAGGCAACCCAAATAAAAAACCATCTTCAGTAAATAAATTAAATCTAAAAACGAGTCATAGACTTTGCTGTTTTAGTATATAAATATTAATAGACATTTATAAGCAGCAAATGCGAGCATACAAATGTAAAAACAAACTAGTATTAAGCAAATCAAATTGAAAATCTATGCAAAATTCAGTTATGCAGTGAAATTTTTGCAATGCCTAAAAGTATGCAATATTTTCTTAAATTTCTTATCAGCTTAACCCTTATATGGTGCCACGTAGCTCATACGAACCAGGAACTTGACAGCGCTTGAATAAGTTGAAGCCAAAAGAAAGCTTTTTCCTTGCCTGGTAAATTTAAAATTGAATAAAAATACGATTTTTTGAGTACATAATTTTTAATTTATTTTTCAATTATTGTAATTGTATTGATTACATATTGTTGTTGTTGTTTTCATTCTGGTTTCTACACCATTAAATATGATTCATTAATTAAAAATTGATATATTTGTTTATAATTAAATGTAATTTTTGTTTTTGCTTTCTTCTTCATTTCACATAATTTAATACTAAACTTTAAATTCGAAACTCACTTTGTAAATAAAGTTTTGCATTTTGTTTTTTGCTTTTTTTTTTTTAGTTTTTAAATTGAATAAAGATCATAATACATAAAAGAAAAAATGATATAGTAGTAATAGTAGTAGTAGGCAGAGAAATATATATATATAATAAGAACATAAATAATACATAAAATAGGCAGAAATTATTATGTATATATATAAGCTAAATCGCGATCTATATATATATATATATATCATTTATATATATAAACGTACGACGTTATCAAAGTCATGAGCAAAAGTTGCATTCTGTTTACAGTGATATCTAAAAGTACGCACACAAAACTTTGTTCATACGACAGTCTAGGCTCCGGCTTATAGAGAGTGGGAGGGGCGGGGAGTTATAATCAGTAATTGGGGAAGGGGAAAGGGCTAACATTCAACTGTCTCGTGTGTGTGTGTGTTTCAAACTTTGATTATATTAAAATTGTATTTATTTTTGTTTGTTTGTTTGTTTTTCCATTAATACGATTTACATAGAATTAGTTAAAGTTTCATTTCTTATATATGCTTTTTTGTGTGGTATTGGCAATAAATTGTTGTTTCTTTTCCTTTTCTAATCAATAATTACGTAATATTAGTTTATAGTTTATAGTTTATATAATATGTGTGTATACTCATTAGATTATGACATGTGTGAGTTGGACATATTCAATTACAAATCGATTCTGTATCGATCTTTATCGATATCGAAATCTCTTGCTCAAATTCTGTCATGCAAAATACAAACTTACGTTAAACTTGCTGTCAAACTTGACGCTCAATTGATATAGAAACTAATCAAGTTCTAGGCTAGAATGTTTCAGAGAGGCCGTCTATAACTATCTAGACATATATATATATATATATATATATATATATATATATATATATATATCTAGTCTATTTAATTAACTGGGGTATTTTCGATTTGATAATTTGGTGGGTCTATGAGGTTCCCTAGCAATTGGGAGTTTTCTTTTTTTTTGTTTTTAATATTTTTATAAAGAGTTCTACATTTGAGCTTTGAGTAGAGGATGATGAAACATTCCAACTTATATAAATATAGTCACGATGCAGATTTGTAACTAATAACAGCCTTGATACTGTTGCAAAACACATGGAAGCTGTATGAAATTGTTTACAGATTTTTGAGTCGATATACATATATATAGATATATATATAGCTAGTTTATGTTATACCTTTTTGAGGTGTATTATTTTTATATTATTTATGTTATATCAATTTGTTCGTGTTGAATACAGTTTTGAAAAGCTTGTTGAAGACGTTTGAATACTTTTGGGAGCGAAATACATTGTTGGGAAATACAAAATCATATATAAAGATGTATTTATACACATATATATATATATAGATATATATATATATGCATACTTTAGCTATGGCAGTAGCAATAAAAAAAGAGTTCAAAATCAAACTGAGAATACTGCAAGAGTGTTGCAAGTGTGTGTGTGTGTGTTTATATATATGAACTATATATGTATAACTAAATATAGATATCTATATTTCGTGGTTTTTTTCTTTTTGCAACCAGTTAATGAGGGACACACTTAATACACAATGCACAGACATAAGTTAAAGAACTAAATACCTACATGAATACATATATATATATAAATAGATATATATATAAGATTATATATATATATATGTATGTATGTGCTTAACATTTACAGCTAGTTTGGCAGGGGTACAACAGTGGCCTGCTATTCCTCCCGCAGTGCAGCGCATTGCTGTGGACGCCACTTCTAGCTCCAGAAGTCCATCATGTTGACCAGCTTGCACTTCTTCAGCTCGAGCTTGGTGGGCCGCGCCCTAAGTCAAGCACGCCCAAAGATCGCCCGATCGGAGACATCGCCAGTCGACTGCGAGTGCGACATGGCCACATTTGAGCCGGCACCTGTTAACGGCCCCACCTGCCCGACGCCCACGCCCACGCCCACGCCCACACCATGGCCGCTGTGGTGATAATGATGATGCGTGGCGGTGGCAATGGTCGCCGTGGATGCATTGTGATGCGTCACATTGTGATGGTTGTGCGCCAGCGTGGAGCTGCCGTATTTGCTGCTGCTGCTGCTGTTGCCATTGGCATTGCTGCTCGCATTGCTGTTGGTTGCGGAGTTGCCGCTCAGGTGCTTCCTGGTGGCTGCCGAGGAAACGTGGTGAGTGCTGCCACTGCCAACTCCGCCGTAGATGCGATGCAACGAATACTGCTGCACGGACTCCAGATCGGAGACGCTCGAGGTGATCTTTGAGCGCACGGCTACCTTCTGCATGCTGTTGTATTTGTCGCTGGCGCTGAGCTTGATGTCGGGCAGGTGTCCATTCGACTGGGCGTGGCCGTGGGCGTGGCCATGGCCATGGGGCTGACGAGAACTGCTGCTGGTAATGGACTTGGTCGTAATGGCCGCATTGCTAACGGCCGTGGTGCTCGTGATGGAGGCAACCACCGGCCCGTTGCCAGGCGAGATCTCTGCAAAGTTGTAGCAGGAAGACTTCTGGGAGACACTGTTCAGGCCCGAGCTGGACGAGCTTGTGGACATGCGGCAGCTGCGATGGCGGCTCGACGCGGATGGCTGCAGGAACTCGTGATGGGCCGCCTCATCGGGCGTCATGCGCTCCGCGGGATCCCATTCCAGGCAGCGCTGCAGAAAGTCTATGAAGTAGCGATCCTGACAGTGCAAAATCTGTGACAAGGACTTGCTGCCCGGCGAACGCTTGCGGCCCTTTGTGTTGGTTATGCAGCGCGGCGCATCGCGCGAGTCGAAGAACAGACGGCGACGGCGCGCCACAGAGATGAGCACCTTGGGCGGCAGGCCCAGCACCTCCATAATGCAGGCCAGCTGCTCGACCTCATTCTCGCCGGGGAAGAGCGGAAAGCCTGTGTACAATTCGGCCAAAATGCAGCCTGCAAGATACAAAATTGTCAATGTAATTAGTATTGATTTCGATAAGCTCTAAGCCATGTGCAGGCGGGCATATTAGCTGGCAAAGTATCGAAATATTTGGCTTAAAGCAGGTCGCACACTGCTGGCCGGGTATCTGCTAGTCGTGCACTCCCTCACTCTCATCACGCTCACTTGTCAGGCGTCAAGACTCAACGTCATTTAGCTGCAGTCATTTCGGCTGCCAGAGCGAATACAAACGACCTTGACTCTGAGCCTTGTCCGGGACAAACACGTGCTCGACTGCTTGACCGCAGGACACACAGCGTGCAGTTCATAGTTCAAAGTGCGGCACAGTTGAGCGACTCTGGGGCATTATTTATTTGCTGCTGCAAAGGGCCTAAGTGGCCTTTCAGGGCTTTGCAAGTGCAGCGCGCGCAATATTGATTCGATTGCCAAGGGACAAGCAAATGCATTGGCCAAACTTGATTTAGGAATGCGGCTGATGAGTCAGCAACTGCCTGATGAGTCAAGAGTGTATATATGAGAGATGTATGTGTGTCTAATCCTATATATATATATATATATATATATTAAAGAAAATATATATATATATATATATATATATATATATATATATATATATATATATATATATATATATAATCAAGAAAATATTAAGTTGTGCTTTACTTAATTTAGTTTTATTGCTGAAGTGTTTCATTGACTTTAAAGTATATCTAATCAAAACGCTTTGACTAAATCCATATTCTAAGAATATTTTACGCTACACATAAATTATGCATTTCACATTTTCTAAGTGTTTTTTTATATTTAAAATTATAATTTTTATTATTAAAAATTTCAACTGAAAATGAAGCTGAAGAGTGAGCTGTAGAGTGATTAAACCTTTCTGGTATGTCAATTAAATTATTTTAAATTAATTATTATATTTTAATAAATTTGAATATATACTAAATCAGTCTATTCTTCATTCTATCAACTCTAAACTCTCAGCTAAACAAGTATCTGAGAACACAAGATCTCAGCTAGCATAATTCAAGATTTAGTTGCATTTCCAATCAGTTTCAGTTAAGACCTAATCAGCATTAACTTGAACCTGAGCTCACTGCCTTCATCTCAGTCTAATTTCCATAGCACTCGCCATTCCTGCTCAGAATACAGCCAGCTCTGTCTATTAATTATATGCTATTCTGCCAAGTACACCCATTACTTCCATATCAGTTGAGCATGAAGTGCAGCGTCTCATTATGCTGCAGCTATGTTGCTGCCAAATGGCAGTGTTCAATTGCTGCACACGAATTTCAGGCTGCGCACAGACTGGCTGCAGCGCAGCCAAGTGTAAAAACACGCACTATGCCAATTAGCAGGAAAAGGCAACAGGCAAAAGGCAGCAGGCAGCAGGCAGCCTGCAAGGAGCTGAAACAATAAGATAGCATGAGCTATACTTTCAGCAAAGGGCAGCAGCAAGGGGGCTGGCTGGGCCCTCAACAAGTGAAGTTTATGTATACAAGAGCTGTGCCTGCCCCTTGGTTTAGCGCTGTGAACGCTGCTTCCTGTAGCGCCCGCCTTCGCCCTGCTGCCACACATCCTTTTAGCGGCCATTTCCGACTACGACCACGTCCGGTCAGCAGCAAAAATATATATCGTGAGCTATGCGCTTCGCACACACAAATGCCTCATTAAATGTGCACAATACGTGAGATATAATGGGCCTCTCAGTGTGTGTGTGTGTGTGGCTCTAATAAAAGCTAGCCTGAGTTTATTTTTAGACACTGTCCTCCTGACTTCTTTACGAATGAAAGCTCATGCGGGCGCTTACTTATTTGAGTTACTGTACTCACAGCAAATGGGTTACGTGTTGAATAATGTGACTCTTACAGCAAACAGCTAGGGGCATGACACCCCGCCCCACTCGTTTTATCTGTGCCACCTAGTATTATGTGTCAAGTAGTGAATGAGGGTAGCACGACATCACAGCAGGTGAAAGTAACGAAACTTTGCCTTTTCATATTTCAGCAAAATATGTATCTTCAAATTAGATTTTTATATTTAATACATTTTCAGCAGCCGTCAGTAGGATGTCTCCTTGATGATACCTAGTGATCATGCTGGCTATGCCATCTAATGGCTAGAAATTAGCTTAGAAAAAGCCAATAAAATAAATATTTCACTGCATACTCGCATGGGTTGATTGACAGAGACCGTCAACTATGTGTTGGTTTGATCCCGTTATATTCGTTTGCGTGTGTTAGTAGATTCGCTGCTATGCTGGGATACAGCGCTAGCAAAAAGGCATTCATCGACTGAGTGAACATTGCTGTTGAGGCAATTAAGAATATAACTGTAAAGCGCAGCCGACAATAGCGCTCCTGCTTTTGATCTCGTTTCTATGTTAGTACAGCAGAGCAAATAGTGTGGACAATATGCGAGTGGAAGTGAGACGGCTGCTATGCACCGACTGAGCATTGCTGTTATAGGATACAGCTATTATTCACAGCCGCTTTGCTTTTTATTTCGTTTACATATGTGTATTAAGTGAGAATGAGAGGGAGAGAGTGGCTGATTTCATATATATTTGTACCTTAGAGTGAGGAGTACAAAATGTGAGTGTTAGTTGTTAGCGCGGTTGAGTTGTCTGCGTCTGATTAATGAGATGATTTAGTTTATGCACGTCTGCTGATTAGATTGGCTATCTGAAATACGTGCGTACAAACGTGGTGTAGTAATGAATAATTATCGCTATTAGAATTTTATACAGTCGTCGCTTTCTGAACTTTCATGTCAATGGCTAAAAATGGCAAGCCCGACCATTGAAGCCATATAAAACCCATTGAAAAGTCGCACACTGCAAATGTCATCCGCATGACCCACTATTAAAAGGACGCCCATTTGATATCAAATACACTCGCACAAATGCCGGCCACATGCAGCGTGGCCATAAAACTGTGTATAAAATATTTAAGCGTTGTATATAACCACACCTGCACACACACACACGCACGTACACAGCGACACCCACACAGTTATTTATAGATGCAACGTGTGTGTGCTTGTGTCTGTGTGGCTATAAATTTGCCTGGCAAATGCAGAAGGGAAAACCATTTAAAAATTCATTTTCATTGCAACGAGGCCAGCGCGGGAGGCGCCCAGAGCAGAGATATTGCGAAATGTGCTTTAATTAAAATCAAGAGCCCACTTTCATTCATTGACTTACCCAAGCTCCACATGTCGATGGCCGTGCCATATTGCAGGCCCAATATCACCTCAGGGGACCGATAGAATCGCGACTGTATGTAGGTATAGATTTTGCGATCCACATAACACGAGCTGCCAAAATCGATGACTTTTATTGAGCTGCTGCCGCGCTGCTTCAACAAAATGTTTTCCTGTTCAAGTAAATTAAAACAAAAGTAAATATCAATACCATATATATATATAGTCTGTGTACTTACCGGCTTGAGATCACAGTGTATGATATTCTCTTTGTAGAGCAAACGCAGACATTTGACAATCGAGTTGCAGAAGCGTCTGATCAGACTCATGCTGAAGCCATTATAGTTGTTCTTCTTGATCAGCTCGTACAGATTGAGACTGCAAAGACAGGTAGATCGATTAAAAACATGACTCAGCAGTGCAACCCCAATCAATTGTTTACTCTAGTCAAATATTTGGGTTCCGGCATCAGCAAAAAAAAAAAAACAAGAAAAGGACGCCAGGCAAATGCCGGCCGCTTAAAGCCCACAGTCCTCAGCCCACAGCAACGATAAAAATAACATGCATTGAATTAATTTGCATTGCATGTCACACACAAATTTGGATATATGACGATAACAGCCAACAACAACAAAGAACAGCGAACAGCAAACTATGGACTGTGGGTGTGATCGAGCGAAGGGTTGTCAAATATCAAAACCAAAGGCTGAAAGACTTAGGAGAGGCAGAAGACGTTGCAGACAAAAAGCCAAAAAAAAATCCTAATATAAAATAAAACATGTCTGCAATATATTATATAATAATAATAGTATATTATGAAATGAATTAAAATAATATAAAATAAAAATAATTTAAAATTTATGTTTTCTAGAAATCAAACACTGTTCACGTTATATCATTATTAATGTTATATATTATATATATTGTATTTAGCTACTTCTAAATATTATTATTATATTTTAAATTTATTATTATTATTATTTTATATTATTTTTATTGTTGTAACCAACTGTATATTTAAACGATATTTATAATCTTTAACAAATTATTATAATTTCTTGTTTTTCATATATATTTTTTTCTAACCTATTCGAAAAGTTTTTATCTTTTTTCTATGAAGAGAAAGCAATAAATTTCGCTCCAACTCATGTGAGTCATGAATTATAATAAAAAATTAACATTTTCTTTGTTTTTTTTCTTTTGATTTACTTAAAATCCGTATATATATAGTATATACTGAATATCTGCCGAGTTCCCTAAGCTCCATTAGTATTGTAAATATTTAAGCTGCCATTCGTATATTCATATATCCATTCAATTTAGGGCATACTGATTTCCTTGAAAGTATATATATTCTGGAACAGAAATTTTTTAGTGGAACTGAGTCAATCTAGCCATGGTCCTTTTCAAGTAGCAGCACAGATTTTAGGGTATCTCTGAGTCACTCCCGACTAGAGCAGTCTTACTTAATGTATTTGGAACTGATGGAACCCTGACTTCTTTTATTCAATATTTATTTGAGCACAATTTATACTATTCTTGCCCACTGTGCACAGTCATTTCCAATTGTATTTTTTTTGCTCACAATTTGTATTTATTTTTCTGCACTTTTTTCGATTTTCAGTTTTTGCGATTAATTAACTGATAACAAGGCTGTTGTTGTTTTTTTTTCTGGTCTTTCACTCGTTTTCTTCTACTCTTTTTTGGCCAATGTCACTGCAACCAGTTTTTATTTGCGGTTCGGGTCACAACTATTTCCAGCTGACTGCGCTGCTCAAGTTTTGTCAATTTTTTGATGGCTGACGGATTTTTGGGGCTTTTGCGTAGCAATTGATGAGTTTTTGGCTGTCCACACCACATCATCATCATCATCATCATCGTCGTCGTCGCTGTCATCATCATGAAGTGTTCAACCCCTAAACTGCCTGTGCTTATGAAGCTCCTATCTCCTTTTGATTGGCACACATATCACATTTCACAGCCCTCGCTGCCTTCAGTTATGGAACTTTGCTGACCACACAGGCGTTCAGTTCATTCATGCCGTCATTTCCGCTTTCGTTTCCCATATCTGCTCTGTCTATACTATGTATTTTGACTCTGCCCGGTCATCTTCTATAAATGCCATCAATAACTTCATCAGCAGCCGAGCTGAGCTGAGCTGCTGCGACATGCACTTATTACTGCACTGCTCTGACCTAGAAAGTTGCCAGCCCGAAGAATGCCAAAAGTAATAACTGCAAATGGCAGGACATGCCAGGATAAGTTGTATATGATTTGTTGGTGTGTGTGTGTTTAAGTAGCGCACTTGGATAATCTGCTGAAATTTGAGCTAAGGTTAAATTGAGGCAAGTAGCTCTGATGGAAATATGAATATGAAGTGAACTTTTGTGGCAGCTTTCAGAAGAGATTTTTGATTGAAATAAGCTGTAATGATTTAGCTGTTCATGAAAACTTAATTAAACTAAATAGTATCTTTAGTTAACTGCTAACAATAGCTGGCAAAATAAATAACTGCTTTAGCGAACGTGAAGCCAACTTCAAGCAGCAGCCTCAAAACCGATTCAATCCTGTTCAAGTCTAAAAAGCAGCTTAAATAACACTTCAAGTAGGCTTTGCTGCTACTTGCTCAACAACTGTCTCCACTTGCATAAATTTTGATGACGGCTGTTAACATTTCGACAAGCTCATGGCATGCTCAACATGTTGCCACATGTTCTAAGGCCTAATCCAATTAAGAAGCGTTTCGTGCGCTGTCAGGCAACAAAGCTGAGCAGAAGAAAGAGCGAGTTTTTAGAGCCGTTAACGATGCCTACAGCTTATGGGGTTAAGCTGCGGCCTTGAGCTCCAAACTGCCAACACGGCACACACACATGTGTGAGAAGCAAGTTTAAGGTCGCATTTAAAGTGTGAATCGCTTTAAGGGGCGTTGCTGTTGTTGTTGTTGGCCAACATCTATTGATTGACGTCGCATAACAAACCAATAAGAAAATCATCAAAATGTCATAATTTCAATCGAGCGAGCAAAAAGAGCAGAGCAACTGCCGTCGACTGGCATATTATAACTGCATTATGACATGCCACATGACTATCGACGACACGGCCAATGCCAAGAGAGAGACAACAACAGAGGCACAGAGCGAGAGAGACTGAGTTAGTTGTTCGTGAACTTGAAAATTGCTCTGGTTCTGGCTCTGCTACTATTTTCGCTCTCTGGCAATTTGAGTTGGATTTGGTAATTTGATTGATTTGCCAGCTGCTTGCAACATGCAACTGTAACGAGCCACTAATGCAGGCATTTAGCGCCCCAAAATGCTACTGTCTAAACCGGAGCAGCAGTCCTCCCCAACGCTCCATAAACAACTAAACAACATCAACTTTCGAAGGTTGCTTCTGGCTGCAGCATAGAACTCGCTCGGCTTGCCTACTTTTCGGCGACCTCTCAATTGGCCGCAAAATGAATTCGTTTCGCAACGCAAAATGGTGTCAACAAAGTTTCGACTGCACAAAAATGGAAATTTGCATTTTTTCTGGCTAGATCGAAAGTGAAAAGTTTTGATTGACAGCCGAGCCGGAAGCAATGGGCGACAATTGAGGCTGGCCAAATGTGAGCGCCTATATGGATGAAACTGGGCTCGAAAGGAAGCTTTACTTAGAAACAATGGAATGATTTTAATATTTTTTGTGTTTTCCATTTCAGTTCAATTTGCTGATTAAATTGTTTCAATATATAGCTCCCTTTCTTGTCTGCAGCTCGCCTTAGCAGTTCACTTTAGCTATTAACAGTTCAGCAGTTCACTTTAGCAGTTTACTTCGCTCTAGCTCTTCACTTTAGCAGTTCACTTTAGCTATTAACAGTTCGCTTTAACAGTTCACTTCAGCAGCTCACTCTAGCTCCTTAATTTAGCAGTTCACAGCAGCTATTAATAGTTCCCTTTAACAGTGCACTTCAGCAGCTCGCTCTAGCTCTTCACTTTAGCAGTTCACTTTAGCTATTAACAGTTCGCTTTAACAGTTCATTTCAGCAGCTATTAATAGTTCCCTTTAACAGTGCACTTCAGCAGTTCCCTTTAACAATTCACTTTAGCAGTTCACTACAGCAGCTCGCTCTAGCTCTTCACTTTAGCAGTTCACTTTAGCTATTAACAGTTGCCTTTAACAGTTCACTGCAGTTCATAATTCATTTGGCAATTTTTCATATTGCTCAGTTCATGTTCAAGTTCATGAGCAACAGAACACAACGAATTATTCGCATCCAATTGAAACGCTCAGCAAATATTAAAGATAATTATCAATCCATATTTAAACTGCATAACTCATTTAGTTTTTATTACCCATTATTCATTAATCCCTAAAGAAATTTAGTAGCTAATTTTAATGAGCAATTTATGTGAACTTCTCAGACAACGCTTAGCCTTTCAGCCCTATTGACTGCCTTCTTAAAAAGTCTTTAATATAGCAATTAAAGCTTATGGTTGAGCGCCGGCAGGCAGTAAGCTAAAGAGCCGTTATCCCTCCTAATCCCTCCCTCCCTTCCTCTTTTGTTTGGTTTACTAATTAACGATGCTGTCCGTGGTTCAGCGACAACGACCTTGATTTGGTTAGACTAAGCGCCCGACTGTCCGACATTGACTCAAGGCTGAATTTCCCTTGCATATTTATGTGTGCGACTCGCATTTTAATTAGTGCAAAGCAAGTCGCTGCCTCTTTTTTCGCTTAGCACAGCCTGGCACTGGGTCGAAAAGAACGTCAAATAAATACTAGACACAAAATATTTAAAAAGATTGCAGTGGAATCAAATGAACATGATAAATGTCTGTTGACCTTGGCGAAAGCCACAATGGGATACACTCAGAGAAATGTCAATAGTTCTTTAGACAAATCCAATTGCTTAGCCTTAAGACTTGATTGAAGTCATAGAATTTATAGGTTGGATAATTAAAATATTTTTGATATTATAAAAACATTTCATTTAAGAAATACAGAACTCATTCGTCTGGTTATTTTATAAATTTAAAATTTAAAATTTATATGCAATATATATATTTTTTTTATAATTATATTTTTTCTATTTTATTTTTGGTTTTTTTTTATATATTTTTTACATATATTTATTATATTTTTATATTTATATTTTTTAATTGACATATTTTTTAGATTATTATTAATTTATATCAATATCAATTTCCTCCCTGCTCTTTGCAGTTTCAAGGATCTCTTCACTTATATATATAAAGATATATCGCAATTTCAGCGAGCGAATAACAAGCTTTATGCCTGGCAAATGTCAATTAGCGGTAATTACTGTGCCACGGCACGGCATAATAATAATAGTAATAATAACCTACATCAACAACAACAATATCAACAGCAAACACCAGCTGTCAGCCAGCCACGCCCACGCATTCCTGACCCTCCTTTTACTTTGTTGATAGTAACTTAATTCCCAGTTGCTCGCCGAGCGCGCTCTCTCTCTCTCATTCTCTCTCTGTCTCTGGTAATTGCAATCTACACGCTAAGTGCAAAAATTAATTTACAAGAAAAAGCCACCATTTGCAGGACTCAGCTCATTTGCATATAGACTAAGGGGCGGCTGCCCCATGCCTACCTCTCCTTCTGCAGCGCCCCGCCTGTCCCTGGGTCGCTCATTTGCTGCGCATGCTGTGCTTTTTAATTAAAAATCTCTGAATATCCAAAGACTTGGACGCTGCTCAACGCCTTGTCACAAATGGACGATTACATGGCTCTTGACAGCATATGAAATGCATATGAATATGCATATATATATATATATATAGCCATAATATATATACATGATTCGTGTTGATGGCATGACTTGAGCTTTACAATTAGCTAAAAGTTTACAAGCAGCTTTGTAGAATATTATTTGAGAAAAAAAAAATAAAATGAGAAAACAGCTATTAATTTAAAGAGAGCTTAACAAGAGATTTCAGTTTATGCTTGACACTTCACTATTAATCATGCAGAACAGAGCTCTAGAGCAGAGAGCTTTTGACTGCTTAGAAATGAGCTTTTAAAAATCACTCAATGTGCTTACAATTTCAAGCGAGCTTAACATGCAGCAATAGCTTTTGCTTGAAATTGTTGAAATTTAATTTTAATTTAATTGAAAAAGATTTTAACTAACCAAAAGCGAACTTTTAGCTTAAGTAAGCATAATTTCTTAAATCAAGTATTCAAGCTAACATCTTAAATTTCATTATAGGCTTTGATGTGCTTTAACAATCAATCTTACAGTGCACTAAAAAGTCACTAGTTAAAGTAACTTTCAGCTTAAAGAGAGCTTTATAAAAACTTAAAGCTTTTCTTAATCTTATGCACAATTTTTTGTTTAAGCCCAATTAATCGTGCCCACAGTTTGATTTGGCATTTTCCTTAAGCTACTGTCATTAGTTTACACTTTAGCTTAAACCAGTGACAGCTCATCTATATAAGAACATGATTATCTCATCATGTGCAAATTGAAAAGAAAAAAACATTCAAAGACCCAAGACACCAAAATCTTGACACATGGCCCAAATGGGCAAATGAGCAACATTGGGCAAGTGGAGCAGGCACTCTGCAGCAGCAGCAGCCAGAATTTATGGCCCTGACACCCACAGAGACCGCCAATGAAATTTGGCCATGACAACATCGTTTGGCAGCGTCATCTACACAATATGCTGCATAGTTATGGGCTGAGCACAGTGTGACCATATTCTATATAGATATATATATATATATATATATATATATGTGTGTGAGTGTGGCCATCTTTGGCAGCTCATTTTATCGCTGTCGCTGTAAATTACGTGTCCGCAGCACAAACACGCTCGAAAGTTACGCCAAATGGACTCGAGAGAGCTGCAAGAATACGTGTGGCAGGTGGCAGGATCTAAATGTGTGTCGGTGTCTAGTCGGACCTTGTTCCTTAACATGCGCCCCGCCCTGACTCATATTACATATTTGCACTTATTTGCCTGCCTCTGCTCTGTGTCTATTTCACATTTGCGAATTTACTATGAAAATTCGTTGAGTTTTTCCTGTCAGCATTTCCGCAGCAAAAACATGCTAATTAGGCTAATCAGCTGGCGGTTTTGAGTGTATGTTTATTTTATTTTATTTTTTTTGGCCCTTTAGAACTAAGCCCTGCCAATTAGAGAAGTTTAAGAAGCAAAAGTAATGCATGCTCTAATTGCAATTGCCGCAAAAATTAGAGAATTTCTGTGGCAAGCGATGCTCAGCGCATCGAGTTGACGTCAATTGAAATGGAAACTAGCTGAGCTTGAGTTCATGTGAAATACCTAAAACCTATAAGAATTTGCATTCGTGTCGCTCCATTTGCGTCTCTATTACATCAATCATAGAGCACAAGTTTCGCTGCTATTTCCGGCAGGTCGTGAATCAAGCGCTAATCCACTTAATCAACTAACTCAATTTGCGAGCTTCAGCCCAAAAAGGAGGGCAAGAAAAACAAATTAACATGGGCAAAATTCAATTGCGTGCACGTAAATTTAATTACGTTAAACTTGGCCGCACAATTTTGTTTACTCGTTCAAAACAAACTTTAAACTTTGCCGGCAACGAGGCGATTGTCTTACCCTGAAGCCCTCCTGCCCCACCCCTCTGAATACTTCTGAATATTTCCATGGTCAAACCGAAAGACGCTAAAAGTGCGCAGTCGAGCAGCTATTTCGCGGCTAATTAGTGCCAAAAAGACCAAAATAATTAATTAACTTTTTGCATGGTAAGCTATTTAAATTGTTGTTCGATATGTGGGGACACAAGCGGCCGCCAGATGGCGTGCTTTAAAGCCATTGCAAGGCATCTCGTATCGAGAGAATTGCGAAATGTCGCAACAAGCCGGGTTAACTGCAATTAAGACCAATTAAACGGAAATGCCAGGCAGCCAGGTAGGTAGCTTCACTAGGCAGAAGACACATGGCAAGGGGGCGTGGCTTGAAGACAAGGCAAACAAGTCAATGGCTAAGAAACCATGACCTTCAACAAATTGTAAAACTTTGCTTTCATTTTTTGCTGCCTTTCGTTGCTGTCATATTTTCTTCTTTTTTTGGTATCGCGTGCTGCCATATTTGCGTTGCCAGCTGTCTAAGCTTTGACATATGCAGCAGCGAGTCCATGCCATCAACACCTGATATGGGGCGGCTGGCTGTCTATCAATTAGATTGCGATTTTATCGCAAAACAACAACAGGTAAATATCTATAGACACACACGCACGCTCGCACACCCGTCCAACCGGCACAACCTGCACGCAGCCAAATGCAGCCAGCCCCACCTCGTGGCAGCACAAAAGTAGGCAACACAATATTTAAATTGAAATTGATAGCTGCGCGGCGGCGCCTGCGGTTTGTTGTGCATACACTTCCGTTGCCTGCCAGTTCGAGTGTGTGTGCAGCGAGTGTGTGTGTGTGGCCTGCCAGGCAGGCAAACTAAAATAGAAATTTATTTGTTTACTCGCATCTGCTGGCAGCTGCATTCAAATTGCCTCTAAATTGTTAAAGCTGCGATTTTATCGAAGCATTTTATGCAAACGTTAATTAAACTAGATAAATTCAATATATTAAAGGGATCTAAAGGAACGACAAATGTGTACAGATAAATGTGTCTTTTGTGAGGCTTCTGAAGCAGATTATATCTCGTGTTTGATAGCTTTGTGCGAAGCCAAATGATTCGTCTGATTGACATCATTTGCTTAATGGTTTCTGCTGGAGACATATATATATATATACATTTCATTTATAGATATATATATATATATTTTTTTTCTATATATATATATATATGTATATATATATATATATATAAATTTGAGATTGAGATTGATTGGGAGCGTGAAAAATATTAAGCTTGCTTTGCTTCGCTTTAGTTACTGGAGAACCCAAACCTTCTTTTATCTAGACAACATTTATTTAGCTCTGTTCTCTTTACAGTGCGCCTCCGCTGCTTGTAGAGCTCTCTATGCTGACAATGAGTATGCAAAGAGTGATGCCTAGACGTGTCAGATTGAGTCAAAGTCAGTCTGAAAGCAGAACTCATGAAGAGCTATGAGCGTCAGGGCCAGGCAAATGCTTACCACATAAGGTGAACAAGATAGTTAGTTATATATAGCATGATATATATATATAGTCATAAGCATGATAGTTGTAGAAACATATAGTAGAACATTAAATATAGTCTAAACATATATACCATATATAGCAATATCATATTCTATGACAAATTTATAAGTTAAGTCTTTAGCTTTACTTTTCGTAATAGACATGGTTCTAGCTGTATAGAGCTGAGCTCTCTCATACCAATCAAGAATATATTAACTTAATTTATATTAAAAAGTAAACAACTTCTTTGTTTTAGTAGCTATAAAGCAGTGCGTGCAAGGCTCGCCCATATAATCCAAACAAATCATATAAAAACACCTGATGTGAATGTGGCTCAAAATAAACATGTATATATATAAATAAATACATTTATAATAAACAAACGAATTGCTAAGCGCAGCTATTAAAACAATTAAAAAGCGTTGTCAAATAATTATGGCAAATCACTTGAGTTTTATGGGCGTCATTAATAAAGAAAACGCAAAGAGATTTATGACGAGCTCATAAAAGCAAAGAAAAGCCAAAATCGAAAGCACAAAGACAACAGCACACACACACACACACACACACACCCACACACACACACATGTGTAGTAATAATAGAATCGACTCGAATATGAGCAAGTTCTCCAGGGCTATTTATAGTTGGGGCACACACACATGCTAATTGTGGAGCAGTTGGAGAGGGGGTCTTTGGTTGCCAAGGCAAGAAGCGCAACAGAGGATCGGCATAATGCGTGCTAGGCACTTGTCAGAGCCGAAAAGGACTTGGCATGTCCTTTAATAGCCGCAACGCACGCAAAGGGCAAATAAAGCAAAAAGAGACGAAGAGCAGCAGAGCAGAAGTTGCGAATAAATTTATATAATTCGTGTGGAATGTTAATAGGAAAATGCGTGGAATACGCGTTTTTAATTGGCAAGTTAGGCAAGAAATACGCTGTGACAGCCAATCGAGAGGCCATTGACGTCACAGCGCCAGCAAATTGCTAAATAAACAACAAATTTATATGCATTTAGGTGCGGCTCACCTCATCAGCTCGAAGGTAATGCACAGATGTCTGCGAAAGTATGTATAGTCCAGCATGTGTATAACATTATGAGATCCATCTGCATCCTTTTCGCGCAGCTCGTCCAGAATGTTGAGCTCAACAACGGCCTGGTTGAGGAAGCGCTTCTTGTTTCTGATTATCTTGATGGCCACATGTGTGTTGGTCTTGTGATCGAGAGCTCTGATCACCTGGCCAAAGCTGCCCTTGCCAATCACCTCCAGGATCTCATAGCGAAAGGCTATATGATCGTGTTCAATCTAGATAGCAGGCGACAAGCGGTCGGTTAGCGAAGGTGATTCAATTTACCGTTATTATATAAATCGACTTACGATCTTGTAGTTGCCATTGTCATCGTCATAGCCCAGATTTGTGGTGTTGGCTGTCGGGGCGGGCTTGTAGTTCTTGCTGGCATTCTGGCCAAAATACCAGACCTCTTTGTAAACCTTTAGCTCCTCGAACTCCAGATCAGTCAAATAATTGCGATATTTTTTGACAAGCTCTAAATGGGTAAGGAGAAGATGCGAGTGAGTTATATGAAACGTAATTATTATAATCTCTATATTTTTTTGCTTCAGCTAACAACTTTCTCGAGCTTCACTCAAGTCAAATGCCCTTTTCATGTAGCCAAGGTTCGCCTTCCGCCTTGCTTTGCAGCATAATTAATTGCAAACTAGCCCACGTGGCAGATCTGCGACCTTGACCTCGTTTGTATATAAAAATTAATTAATGCCCAGCCTCCGCTGGTCGCCCACCTGCACTGAGCTCAGAGCTCAGGGAGCGTGAGCTTTGCTAATTCGCATTCGATGCCAGCGATGCGTATGAGCCCCACGCACTAAAAACGCAAACATTGCAAATGTTGACAAGAGTCCAGCGCCCAAGCTGCCCCACCTACGGCTAGCTGAGCTGCGATACCCACCTGATGGTGTCATGGGCGTATTGCATTTGAGCTCGGCACTGCCCGTGCTGCTGGCTGAGTTGCCGGAGCTGCCGCTGCCGCTGCTGCTGTTTGATTTGGTCGAGGAGCCGCGCTCGTTGCCGCTGCCACTGTTTGTGGTCGAGCAGGAAACGGGGGAGCCCAAATTGTTGTTGTTGCCATTGCCAATCTGTGTGTTTGTTGTTGTCTCGTTTACATGGCTGCTGCTGCCATTATTGTTGTTGTTGTTGTTGCTATTGCTGTTCGTGTGTCCGTCGAGCCGACGGCCCACTGTGCACAGCTGTGGCAGGTCCAAACGCGAGCCGGACAGACGCACATCGCGTCGCAGCTTCTCGTTGTCCAATTGTATCTGTGAAAGATAAGGTATTCATTTTTAATTAATAAATTTATAATGATAAAGATTATTATTATTATTTCAGTTGATTTTTACTATTAGAAAGCACGTCTAAGTATTACAAATTTTATTGTTGCATACTTTGTGGCTGCTCGTTAAAAGACCTATTCTGTAAAATTCATTGCATACTTTTATGCGCGTCTAAAAATCTGCAAAATTATGCTTTACTTTAATATAAAATGAGCTTCATGCCAAATGCAAGCAAACCTATTTAATTTAAGTATATTTTATATAAATTATAATTTTCAAATAAAAGACAGAACGCCTTCATCTTACTTAAATCTCATGTTTCCTTCTTCCTTATGCTGATTTTGTTATAATTCCATAATTAGAATTTAATTTTCTTTTATTAAAGACTTATATCATATCTGCCTATTTTCTTATTTTGTTCATCCACCAAATAGTCTTTAGAATTTAATAATTATTTTGAATATTTAATCAAATATTTTTTTTATATTTTAAAATCTACTTTCTACTTTCGCAAGTTTTTTCTGTTAGTGTTTTATCTCTTAAGATATTTAAAATAACTTCATGTTCTTATAACTCTATAAAATAACTGCAGTTAAATATCTTTTTCTTAACCATTTTTCAGCTGCTTACCGGCATTTCACATCGATCCAACATCGTGCTGAGCTATATCTCTGTGAATGTGCGTGGTGTATTTTGTGTGTGTGTGTGTGGGGTGTGGGCGTTCTCTGTCCAATGTTATCCAAAATGGCACAGTGAGTGCTGTCGACTCAGGGAGTTGCTTAGTGGTTGGTTGTTCTTATGGAACCGGCCAAAAAGAATTATTATTGATAACCAGCTGTTGGGCAATAGATCTGCGGGTCGCACAACATTTGTGTTGTTATTGCTGTTGTGGTTTTCGGGTAACTGCAAAGAAAATAAGTTGAATTTCATAAGTAAAATATCAAAATACAATATAAACACATTAATTATATGCTAAAACTGAACCGATGGTCGTAGTTAAACCCTTGACTTTAACCCCTGACGGCAGCCAATCGAAGAAATAACAAAAAATCAAACTGCTACAACCTAAACAAAATGCTCAAATGTTTCCCTCTTAAAAACCATGAAAATGTATGAAAAATTGAGTTGAAAAGTTGGGAAATGCAAGGTACGAAATACCCTGTAAAGTGATGAAAGCAATCATATGATATTTCAATTCGATCTTTAACAAAATTGGAATGATAAGGAAGTCTTAAGCTGTTAAGGATATGGTTTAGGCAAATATTAAAGAAATTTACTAAAAGTCTTCTAATGCTCTTCAGTTGGCTCAACTGAAACAAAGTTTCCATATATACCCCGTTCACCTATTTCGCAATGAGTATTATGTACAAAAAGTATTCAACGACTTGTCAAAACATAACCATAACTAACTCAAAGCCGGCCCCCCACGAAGAAACTCGAATGTCAGTCAACGGCATTTAGCAGTTTTCATTGTCAAGGCGGTGTTTGTCGGCAAATCATCAAAAGGCCCCAAACTTTATTAATATTTTTTCTTTTGGTATACGAAGGGTTTGGTCTAGGCAGGAACCTGCCTATGCACTTGTGGGCCACAACACGGTTGGCCTGCAACTTGGTAACCAAAAAGTCATGGCCAATTATTGGCTTTTTGTGTGCTGCCCCTTTAGGTTTTTGTGTGTGCATTTCGTCGTGTTGGGGGCGTTTCAGCCACAGACAGACAGTAAGTCAGTCAGACAGGCAGTTGAGTGCGTGTGTGTGTTTGGGCTTTGCATTCAGCGATATGCATAATAATCCTAACCCTTTTCTTAGGGGTCGCAGCAACCCCTCAAAATGCGGGCGCACAAGTTCGCTGCGCTTCACAAGTTTCTCTATGAATAGCAACATAATGAGTTAACAGTTAGGTGAATACACTGAGCGTATAAGAGGGCTGTTCTTGAAGTGGAAAATATTCTAAAAAAATAAATTCTTTTTCAAGTCATAATAAATATATTTAAAAAATTGTAAATCTAAATATATTTATTTAATTTTCTATTTAAAAATTCTAAAAAACTGTGCATAAATATTATTTAATTATTTGCTTTAATAATTTTCATTTTTTATACTTCTCTAAGCAATGGTTTTCATTATTTTCTTAAATCCTTCAATTACTCTCATTTTTTTGCAGTGTACTTAACTGTTGCCCACATTTCAAGGTGCCACTGCGTTAGTTCCAAGCAAGACTTGTCTACTTCCTATGTTTAACCTTTTCCTTCAGCTCTTTATAGATACTTTTTTTTTGTGTTTTTTCTTTTAGGTCTTTTTTGACATGGCCTGGAAAATTTATTGGCTTTTGAAAAGTTTTCTGTCATAAAATCATAATTTACAGCATTCGTTTTCCACGCTGACTCTTGGATCAACTTGACAGTTGTTATGGCATCGATGGGAGTTGGGTTCGCTTGGATTTTTTGCAATATATTTAAAAGCTGCCTCTTCTTGCCTGTCGGTGGGTGAAGCTCAATAGTAAATTTGTTTTTTTTTGGCTTTTAATTTTTTGGTAGCTAGTCATCGTCTGGGAGCCTGTCATTAAATGCAGTTTTGTGAGCTGGTTTACTTCAGTGGCTTTTCGCAATTTCTTATATAGAAAGCGGCGTTGGGCAACATTAAAGAGCAAATGGCATAAGCCAGACAGCCAGACCGACTCTTAGCTGAAGTTTCACATTGTCTGGCGTAATTTGATAAGCGAAAGTTTTTTGAACTCCGCACCGGAGACACAGGCCAATTGCAAGGCTGTCAAATTATGACTAAAAATAGCTGTCAAAGCTATTTAGAAGGTGGGCCACATTCAAGCCAGCTGCAGAGATACCAAATACCAGTTACCAGTTACCAGTTACCAGTTACCAGACACAATTGACTCTTTGTCTCTTGCTTTGATTTCAATTGAATAGCAAATTCTATATTTGGGCTAAAATACATTTGACATTGCTTAGACGCCCACTGCGCATGAGCATTTGATTAATTTGACTGAGTGTTTCATATGCTCATTGATATCTGCAATTCCTATGCGTTGGCATTGAATTTCAAATGTCAGTTTCAATGTTAGTTTCACAGCTCTCAAGTCCACGAAGATGTGTCAGTTGTATTGGGTTTTTTCGCTTTGGCTTGACCTTGCTCAAAGTGTGATTCGATTTCAAAAATCAATATCAATTGCCATAATTATCTAATGCTGAAATCTAGGTTATTCTTGACTTTCCCTAATCCTAATTTAATTATAGCTCTTGCATAATTCTTTAAACATTTTTTCAGCGCTTTTTGCTGACCCAAAACATGAAAACTAAATATAAAACAATTTATTTGAAATTTCGACGTCAAGTGTCGCAGTCCCTAAGCCAAAAAAAAATATATATATATTCAGACTGCCAGTGAATTGGTCACTCAAAGTAATTGAGTCGCTTCTTTTGGACCCGAAAAAAAAAACAACGATAAAAACAAGAGAAAAATCGAGGCAAACGCAACTTTAATGGCAATAAAACTGTCAGGAAATTTATGTGCATAATTTGTCAATTCACAAGCGAGTTGTATTTTGACAAGCGCGAGAAAATCGTTTCAATCAACTCCCCAAACACAAAAAAAACAGAAAAAAATACAAAAAAAAATAAAACAATAAAATTATTATGCATCGTTTTTCAAGTGCATTTCGTTTGCTTAATAAATGTCAATTGCGTTTCTTCTTCTTCTGTCGATAAACACAAAACGAGAGAGAGAGAAAAAAAAACGAGAAAACGTGACATTTTGTTGTTGACTTTTGACACTTGCAATCAGCCGGACGGAAGATTTTTATACAATTTTACCGTTGACTAGGCAAATCGCATTTATGTAAATAAACTTATTTTTTTTCTTTATTTTACTCAGTCGCATTCACCCAAAATGAGCAAAGAGCAACGAAACCTTGCAGCAAATGCCAAATTTTTTTTAACCGCGGGAGTGTTGCCATTTAAATGGTTTAGCTACTTGACAATTTTTACAAGGCAGATGTTTTTCGATTCTTTACATCATGGTAAATTCTCGTTGGGTCTGCCCCGCAGCATGTCAAAATGCCGCCTGTCCACCATTCCGTATCGATCGACTGGGCCTATTGTTCGGATTTTTGATTTATTAAAATGTTTTCTTTTGATTTTCTGACGCCTCAAGTGCCACAAAATGCCAAAAGTTGTATCACAAATTGAAATTTAAATATTCACTCATTTCTCTCATTGGTCTTTGCTTTTTCGGACATGTACACACTTGTAGATCATAATGGGAAGCTTTGAGGCATCACGTGTAAGGTTTATGGAAAAGGTCTTTGTGTCTATTGTTTCAGCGATTCATTGATTTGTTTGGGATCAGCTCACATATGCCAAGCATTTTTGACACATTGATGTTTTGGGGGTAAAAAAACACATTATGGGTCTTTGATCTCGCCGTGGTTGGAAGTGCTATAAATTTATAGCAAGCCAGAAGTGTTATTCCCACTTCAGCTGTATGCTTGGTATGGCATTTAAAATATATTATGGCATATTCCCGAGCTGCTATAAACTGCCATAAATATATAGCAAGCCTGAACGTTGTACATATTTAAGGCATGTACATTTTGAAGACATTTACAAGCCTTTCTGACAGATTTGAGTATTGCTATAAATTTATATTAAGTTAATAAATTAATACCATTTGAGCTGTAAGATATTTCTGATCGTTTCAGTTATATGGAAGCTGATATCTATCATTCATTTACAGCGTAATATGTCAATTTTATGGCACAGTTCATCGTGCTCGTAGTGCTTACGTAGCATGTACAATTTTGTTAGAGCCGCACATAAACAAGCCCATTTATGGCTTGCTTGTCGAAGCCCATTACATGCTTTCTATGCCCACAATAATACGCCATAATTTTAACGCAACTGCATTTGTGCATGCAAGGCTCAAATTTCGGGTGAATCCGCAAAAGAAATTCGGGCCACATAACTCAAGCTGGGCGCATGTAGGCTCGGTATATGCCATAACTGACCCACGACAAGGGGAAATGGCACTTAATCATACAGCACACCAGGTTAAAGCGCAGTCAAAGCCAACAACATCGTTTGTCACAAACATTTGGCGTGGCCCAGAATTGAAAAAGAAGGTGCCCTCAAAAAAGAGCCGATCACAAAAATAGCTGAGAGTCGGCAACGAACAACATGCTATAAACATTTCTTTTTCTGTTACATTTAATTTGGCGCTGGCACGACACATAAGTAAAATTCATTTAGTTTTCATTATTACTAGAATTTTCATTATTATTATTATACATATATTTGTTTTTTATTATTTGCTTCTTTTTGTGCAAAAGCAGGCCAGAAATCGCATGCCTCATAATTTGGTTAGGCCCAACAAAGCGTGGCTACAAGTTTTGTATTGTGGGCATTAACCAGTTAACTAGCTAGCGCTAAGCCAACTAAGCGCACAGCTAACATAATTAGCCACGCCTCCCATCCGACGCCCTGCGAATAGCCGAACAAATGTGACCTCATAAGCTATTGACCCAGTAACCCCAGCCCCCTAAGTAATGACCCCTAGGCAAAATGTCAGCTAATCGCGTATAGATTTCAACAGCGACAACTGTCGAGTGTCGACTGCGGAGCGGAAGTACCCAGCGTTGTGCTTGAAAGAGCTTAGGCTGGGCATTGGAGAATTGTTAGGGGGCGGCGCAGCTGGCGGTTGGTCAAGCGGATATAAGTCATCCATGTTGGAGGTGTTTTGACGAGGAGAGACCAGACAAGTGTTAAGCTGTAGGTATTTTGTAGTGAAATATTTGTAGTTTATGTTAGGGCGGAAAATGCCATAAATAGGCTTATGTCCCCTTTCACACCGTAAACTAGGAACTGTTAGTAGAAACGAAAAAACATACAATATAC